CCTCTTTTCACCTCCTTTGTGTAACATTCTATCAAAATGATTTTAATTTTGTTTCCTTTCTGTTGCCTAATTACTGTTCCATGAAGCAAAAGATTCCATTGCTTTACTATCGCATCAAAATTTTACCATGAAGAGTATTTCTTTTCCCTGTGTATGTTTCTACACAATTATTCTGTGTCTCCACAGAGCTATATACTTGTTTACTTGCTTTTTCTGTCAATGAACAATTACGACTGTTAAAAAATAAACTATTATAGATAGGTATCTCTCAGTTGTACCTCAATCATTTTCCCTAAGTAGAGTGATCAACTTAATTTTAATGCTTAGTTCTATGGAGATTAGTCCTAAATATACATTAAACAACAAGTTTTCCAAACTTGAGTCTCAAGCTATGTGCTACCCTATGTCCATGCATCTTCAAGCCTTTACCATGCCTTTACCATGCCTTAATGAACTTTATTGGTGCCCTGACCAGATTTCCTGTACTGGCTGGCATCTTTCCAGGAAAAATTGCCCTTGGCGAAATAGGAACCGCCTCCCTAGGCACCTCCATTATTCTCCCCATCAGGGAGGGCCTGGGTTAATGACTGGCTGATAAAGGGTTTATACCGTCCTTGCTTCAAGATGGAAATAACTCTGCCAGTACATTTAGTATTTAGGCTGAGGCTGATTTCCAACCGAAAACACATTGTTGCTTGACTTTTTTCTTCTGCCTATTTTGTTTCCCATAGTACCTAGTTCCTGAGAGTTCTCCATCAACAAGTCATTTAAACAAGAATCTTGTCTCAGGCTCAGCTTAGAATCTGACCAAAAACATGTGCAAGAATTGATTTTATCCCCTTCTTAAATCTGGTTTTGTTTCTTTTTTCTGGTCTTTAATAAATGGTATCATCTTTTGATCCTCAAGCTTGAAATCTGGAAGTCATCTTTGACCCCTACTTGTCTTGTTTCTGTATAATAGTGGTTCTTAAACCCTTTTTTGCTGAATGTCTTTACACTCTTAAAAATTATCAAGGGCTTTAAAAAACTTTTGTTTATGTGGGATATAGCTTTTACTGTTTCTAATATTAGAAATTAAAACTGAAAATATTTTTAATATTATTTAAAAATAATACAAAACTATAAACAAAAAACATATTTTTATGAAAAAATAATTGTTTCTAAACAAGAAATAATAGAAGAATGGCATTGTTTTACACATCTTCAAAAGTATGGGGCTTAAGAGAAGTTGGCTGGATTTTCATATTGATATGGTTCTGCATTTACTCTGTTGCAATATCACCAGTCATGTAGCCTCTGATGAACTCCACTGGGTCCCATGAGAAAATAAAGTGAAACAGGCAAGTAATGTTTTAGCATTGTTATAAAAATAGTTTTGAGGCTGCAGACCCCGTGAAAAGGTCTCAACCCCTGGACCATTCTTTGAGAACCACTGCTGTTTATCAGTTTATATATAGTCCAATTGATTTTGTGATGAAATTGTACTTTTAAAGATTACATGATATGGAATAAATAAAACACTTCACATAGTCTTGAATACCCATAAATGGGATAATTTGAAAGCATAGACTGAATCTGAATCCAGGTTCTACCATTTATATGCTATGTAATCTTGAACAAGTTACTTAACCCTTCCCCATATTTTAGTTTACTCATGTATGAAGTAAGACAACATTAAATTTGAGGTTTATGTGAGTTAATATATATAAAGTACTTACAACACCCCATAATAAGCATTATGTAAACATTAGCTATTATTATTGCTCTCAGTAATAGTAAATAAGTCTCCTATAAGTGTTAGCTAACGGTTGTCATCACTTTCCCTTTCTGCGGCCTAGTTTCTTGCCTGATTTACATCGCACTATTAATTGGTCTGCCTATTTCCATTATTTCTTCTTGCCTATTAACTTTTCTTTTAAAACATACAATCTTTTCACTTTATTGAGTAGATATTTCTGTGAGCTTCTTGATGTCTTTAAGAAAATAACTTTAGAATATAACATAGGCCTTTTCCAATATGGCTTAATATACCTTTTATTTCTCTTTGGTACTTTCTATAATCCATATCCATTAGCCGCTGTGCCTCAGCCATCATTTATTATCTTCATCTGGTACTTTTCTAATTCATACCCATCCCAAACACACTACACACTTTTTGTCTGCCTCTCTCAAGACTATATTTTGCATCTTTGTTCCATAAAGCTTCCATTAGGTTTTTTAAACCAGCTCAGATTTCTTCTGGGAATCCACGGGAACTTCTAAATTAAATCTCTTATACTTCAGTAAACTGGGAGTTAACTGGGCATCATCAGACATATAGTTATTCTTTCTTGGAACAAGAAAGTTTTTGAAAAACCACTCAATCCTAATCCTATTCTTACTCAGATAATAAGTAAATCAGAGGATCCTAAACAGAGTTCCTTATCATGCCACCACTCAACCTGACTTGGATTTAAAAGAACTCTTACTGGGGAGTCATTTGTAATCTGTTTGATAACCTACATACTGGTATGACAATAATTGAGACTCCTGTGTATTAATATTGCAAAAATTTAGAGAATTGTTAATCAAGATTTATTTTTCTTTCTCCTAAGAGAAAAATTCTCGCATGCATCAGAGCTTTTTTTCTTTGTCGTTATCAGAGATTCTTAGTAAACAGGCTGTGTTCATCATTTGAAGGTTAAGTTCAAAGCTTTTACCATGATTGGTATTATCAAAAATGGATGGACAGCACACCTAAATTTTCTCTTTACTTTCTCTTAAAACATTGAAAGCAATTGCTAGAAGACTAATGAGGACAGAGTTCTTCCAGAATCAATCACATTGGCTAAAGACTTAATTATGCCCAACTCTCGAGAGAGCATAAGTAGACTTTGCTCACATCCATTTCCCCTTACCTTGAGATTCCCCATCCCTCTGCCCTCCACTCTTTCCAATCAAAAGAAATACTTGATTGTAACATAGGAAGTCTAAATTTTTAATTGGAGATAGAACTTTATATTTAAATTGACAAGTATTTCGATTGAAGATAGACCTTTGTATTTGAATTGAAGACTTCTGCAATGTTGATGACAACTTTCAGACACATTGTAGATACTATTAAAATACAACTCACATGTTTGGGAGAAGTCTGTCAAATAAAAACTAAAATTATCAATAGTACTGATCACTTTGTAATAATAGTGGTGTAGTTGGAATTGCCATTAAGCAATGTTTTTTTTTTTCAATTTGTATTTACTTTTGAAAAGAAAACAAGTCATATGGAACAAGGTTTAGCTCATTTGCTATTTTGTTTATTGACTTATAGAAACATTTATTTGGCTTCCAGTGTAACTAGATATGATCCTGATACCAGGGAAGCAAAAATAGACCTTTATCTTTAACAGGATGAACTGTTTGTTGCTTCCTCCCCCACCCTGCCCCATTAGATTCTAAGTTGTGAATTCTGTGATAGTGGCAAATAGAGTGATTTTTGATTATCCAAAATATTTATGTAAATTAATCCAGTAAATTAAATATATACTTTAAAATCATCCTGTAGCACTCACTTAAGACTGGCAATAATCAGTATCAAAATGCATAATGGTGGCTTTATTATGAGGTGTTATTGGCTGGTGCCTGATGGGGGATGACAACAATTAATAGGTTATTGAATTGTCTTCCCTAATAATTTGTTTGAATTTTCTCTATTTTCTTCTGTAGCAGTGCTGTTCCAGAAGGCTTTTTGTGATCAGTGTTCTATATTTGTGCTACCTAAAAGGATCCACTAAACACCTGTGACAGATGAATATTTCAGATGTGGCTAGTGTGGTTGAGGAACTGGATGTTTAGTTTTATTTAATTTTAATAATTTAAATTTAAATAGCTATGACTAATAGCTACTGTATTGGACAGTGCCGATCTATGATGTCATTAGCTTCTATCAGATAGTGGTAAGAGTTGGATTAGTGTTAGATTATTAGTTTCATTATTTTATTCATGCAGGAGCCAATTTTCAGAATTTTACCTATAATCAATGCATTGAATTGTCCTTAAAGTTAAATTATAGTTAATCTTTTTTCTAAGTTCTGTCAGAAGGTGAACAGTCTCGCATTTTTTCCTATTTACTTCAACATAGAGATTGCTACAGGATTCATTATAATGAGTGAATCATTGTATTAACATTGATAACATTGTTTTCATTTGGATCATATGATATAGTCACTTATCTTCACATGTGTTGAATGGGCAAGAAGACCATTTAGGCTACTGAGGGGAGTAGCAGGTGGTAGGGATCAGCCAGTAAGTGACAATTTTCTGAGGTCATGCATTGGAATAAATGGAATGAGTGGAATCCATATTCAGAATTTAAGTTCTTGATAATTTGGTGGAGGAGCAGCTAATGGAGCATGAGCTACCACACGACACTTATAAAGTTATGGTTACTTATAAAAATAGGATAAACTGAAGCAGATCCAAAGTGGGACTTATTCTAGAAACTCTCCAATCAGAATTGTATTTGCAATCATGAAGAGAATGTTATTGTACGACCTTTTAATTAATTTAAAAAGAAATTAATGATCAAATATAAATGGCAAAAATTATGCAGCAGTTTTTATATTAATAGTGTTTTCTAATGAGGATTAAACTGCGATTGTATACTTTTTTCAGTTATGCGTGCTATTTTTGATACTCATAATTCAATCTAATAGTATTAATCCTTTGTTTTTAAAAGATTCATTCTTACTTTGTTTGAGGAAGTGAAACTGAGCAATCTTAAGACCCCAGAGATCCTTGATTAGGAAGCTCTAGTAAAAGCTTATCAGTAGAGGAATATTTCTGTGAGTCTGAAATCCAGCTATTATGTCTAAGGGTCTGTTTGACTCCCTTTAGACTTTCAGCACCTGGAGGTTGATTCTGTGTCTTACATTTCCTCTGTGACTCTCCATGTACCTCTTTAGAGAGACTGGTTCTCTCTGACTGACTTCCTTTTAACACCCTAAAAATCTATTTCTTTGTAGGGGGAGCCCATCACTTTCTGTGAGGAGAGTTTTGTAAAGCACCGCTCAAGTCTGATGAAACAGTTCTTGGAAACTGCAGTTAACCTCCAACTTTTCAAGCAGGTAAGAGTGGACCTCTGTATTTCCTTCTGTAACAGAAGATTACAGAAATGTAACAAATGCATGGCACATTTTTATCACTTTTATCAAAAGTAAGTCAAAACTCTGAGTAATTTCGGTTCTAGAATTACAAGAAATTTTACTTTTCTTTTGTTAACTCTGCAGTTATCTATAGCATGGCACACCAGAAAATTAAGTAATAGTAACTTTGTTATTAAAAAATTTTTCAGCTAAAGTACTAATCTGATGGTCTGAGGAAGAGTATTCATTCACACAGTTATAAAACCAGCATGACTACTTTCATGTGAGCATCTAGGAGTTGTTTTGGCATGGTAGATTGATGATGGTAAACAAACTATTTTTTTTGTAGGACAGTCCTAATGTAATCCGGTTTAGGAAAATAGACTTCATAATTATATATTCAAAATTCAAGGAAAAAAGTTCATCATCGTACTATATATCCTGAATTTTGGCTCAGAAAATGTAATTGCTATTTCAAAAAGCAGTAGCTTAACATCAGAACTGAGAATGGCAAGTGTACTCGTTCTGTCATTCCTGTGTGTGATCATAGCAAGTCTCTTCATTGAGGCTCATCTCAGCTTCTGTTTACATAATTTAAGTTCTAAACATTTTTTTTCTTATCCCACATGATAATTTAAATGTAAAATTACCTGTGTGAATTCAACATTAAATGAAGACCAAAACGTGACATAAACCTCTCAGGACCAGGATATAAGCAGGAGTGAAAATTCAGTAATGCCCTTGAGAAGCTGAAAATCTTAATAGAATCCTTTGGACTGTTAGGAGAAAAGATCCCATGTAATTTGAGATAAGCTTCAGATTCAATAGGTGATTTAATTTGATGGTGACAAAACCAATACTATTATCATATTCTGAGGAAGTTTTAAAAATTAATTAGAAAGTACGTGGGTGGGGGCGGGGAGCCCTAATTGTCTTCTCATATGTGAAGGTTTATCTTAAAGAAAGTGTTACATTTATCCAAAACCTAAAACAGCTTTGATAGCTTTTAGGTTCAAAGATGTCTTACAAATTTCCAAAGATGGAATGGGTTACTTTTGGTGCTCTGTCCCTAGAGGGCTCTATTATGGATTGAATTACTTCCCAAGGTTGTAGAAGGATCAAGTGATGGTCTTTATGAATGCTGAAGTGTACAGCACAGTGCAGTCCTAAACTAGTCATCCAGTGTGTGCTTGTTGAGTTAAATAGTGGTAAGCTTTTTGTATTTTTATCTGTCAAGGAGAGATAATACTACTTCCCATTGTCAAAACTGAACTGTAAAGATCAAATAATATGGGGGTTAAGAATTGAATGGGTAGATGGAATATCTAACTTATTCCATAACCTTCGGCTATAAGACTGTAACTAAAGTCTTTTCATTAGTTATAATTCAGATATAGTAATTTTTATATACTTACAAAAGGTCATATTTTTAGGAATCAGGTAGAGTTGGGTTAAATCTTGGCTTTATCATATAATAGCTGTTTGCTCATAGGTATCTGTTTCTTTTTCTTGAAAATAGAAATACCCCCTGCCTCACAGAGTTGTGGTAAAGTTTATGTGAACCGATCCCTGTATACTCTCAACACAGTGCACAACACTTTGTGGAAGCTTACTAAATTTTAGTGTCTGCCTTATTTTAGAGACATTATATTAATAAAATAAAAGTCTTCGCAGGATGTTTTTTAAAAAAGTATAACTTGGTCAAAAAAGCTCACTGCAAAATACTAAAATGGTCAGTCAAAGTAGAGCCCATTATATAGACAACTTGGATAGTTTGACATGCACCAGTTGATCATGTTCTCAAACTTGGTATCATTTTATGACCCTTAAGAAAATGATACTAAAAGATTAGAGAGTTAAAAGATTCCTATTGACAGTTTCACAGACTTCTAAAGATGAGTAAGTTCCAGAGATTCACTGTACAACATAGAGCCTAATTCTGTTCTGTTAAAATTCTACTTCATGTTTGGGGCGCCTGGGTGGCTCAGTTGGTTAGGCATCCAACTTTAGCTCAGGTCATGATCTCACGGTTCGTGGGTTCGAGCCCCGCATCGGGCTCTGTGCTGACAGCTAGCTCAGAGCCTGGAGCCTGCTTCATATTCTGTGTCTCCCTCTCTCTCTGACCCTCCCCTGCTCATGCTGTCTCTATCTCTCTCTCAAAAATAAAGAAAATATTTAAAAAAAAAAAATTCTACCTCATGTTAGTGTTCTTAGCACAAACAAACAAACAAACAAACAGACTAACAAAAAAACCCCGAAGCAATCCAATGAAACTTCTGGAAGAGGTGGATATCTTTATTACTTTAATTGTGGTGATTGTAGCAGAAGTGTATACATATGCCCAGACTTACCACATTGTCTCCACTAGTTATGTGCAGTTTTTTTGATTACCAATTATACTTTACTAAAGCTTGGGGGAAGAGAAAATAAACAAAAATAAGAATCATCTGGTAAAAATTATCAACATAGATGAAGTCACAAAGAGACTATTGCTATTTTTGAAAGAATATACAAATATTCATTAAGTATAAATGATTACTATTCATGATTATGAATTTGTGCTCCATCATAGGTCAAGAACTCCCCAGCCTCTCTATTTAGCAATGCTTATGCATCAAAACTGAGAGAATATGGGTCCAGGAGAGTAGCATATAATTTTAAGTTAAGAATTAAAGTAATCTGCAATTTATGGTAATATGGCAGGGAAGGATTCAGAGCTAACTTATGTACTGAAACAATTTTAAATGCAATATTTAAAAAACTATTTTATGGTATGGGAACAGAAGACAAAGCCTAGTGCTTACTTCCCAAGTTGAGAAGTGTAATAGGAGACCATACTCCCACAAATCTGGGATGACTTAGTGTAAAAGTAAATAACAAATAAAATTGCTCCTTCCCTTTACTCATTTCCTGTTGATTGTGCCTCCAAAGCACTGGTACTAAGTGGAGGGGAGGAAAAAGTGCTGCTGAAAAGTAAACACACCAGCCCGTACAGGAATTTGAAGTCTGAATTAATAATTATTGATTTGGTCTGATACAACTCAAGCCAAGTTTACAGCGATCCTAAATTGTTAGCACTGTCAGACCCTAGAGCAGACACAAACATACATCTTCTCTTGAGGAATCCAGGCGTCAAAGAATTCTCCCAGGTAAAATTCTAAAGAAAAAGTTCACTGTTAGAAGTCACTAAACATGGAGGAGGGCATGTGTGAGGGATCAGCACTGGGTGTTATATGGAGACCTACTTAACAATAAATTATTTGTAAGAAAAAAAAAAGAATGTGAAAAAAACAAAACAAAAAAGCAGTCATTAAGCATACAAGGAAAAAAGTCATGGATAAGAACTAGCAGAAACAAAGGACCAAAATTGACTTACAAAGACTTTAAATATAGGAATTATCAAAAGTAGACTATAAAATAAATATGCTTTAGATGTTCAAAGGAATAGAGGCACCTGGGTGGCTCAGTCAGTTTAGCATCTGACTTTGGCTCAGGTCATGATTTCATGGTTTAGGAGTTAGAGCCCTGCTGACAGCTCAGAGCCTGGATCCTGCTTGCGATTCTCTGTCTCCCTCTCACTCTCCCCCACTCATGCTCTTTCTCTCAAAAACATAAGCAAACAAATAAACAAACACTAAAAAAGTTAAAAGGTGTTCAGAGGAATAGAAGACAAGCTTAAAAATGTTCAGTATTTAGGGGCACCTGGGTGGCTCAGTTAGTTACGTGACCGAGTATCTTGTGGTTCGTAAATTCGAGCCCCATGTCAGGCTCTGTGCTGACAGCTCACAGTATGGAGCCTACTTCAGATTCTGTGTCTCCCTCTCTCTCTGCCCGTCCCTCACTCATTCTCTTTCTCTCTCTCTCCCTCTCTCAAAAATAATTAAACACTAAAAATGTTTAGGATATAAAAATGTTAATGTGAAGCCAATTTTTAAGACTGTACCTAATAGGGTGCCTGGGTGGCTCAGTCAGTTAAGCGTCCGACTTCAGCTCAGGTCATGATCTCACGGTTCGTGAGTTTGAGCGCCACGTTGGGCTCTATGCCAACAGCTCAGAGCCTGGAGCCTATTTCGGTTCCTGTGTCTCCCTCTTTCTCTGTCCCTCCTCTGCTCATGCTCTATCTCTCAAAAATAAAATAAAAACTTTAAAAATTTTTTAAAAAAGACTGTAGCTAATAAAATTCCGGTAGGAAGTATGTAACTGAAATTGATGGAAGTTGATGGGTTGAACAGCAGATCAGATCTAACTGAAGAGAGATTTGCTAAACTGGAAGATATATCTGAAAAAGAATTTATCCAGAAGATAATGCAGAGGAATGAAGACATAGAAAATATAAGAGTTTAATAGGCATGAAGGGTAGAATGAAAATGTCTAAAATCCATTCTAAACAGTTCTAAAAAGAGAGAACAATAGATGGAGGAGAGACAGTAGTTGAAGGGACAATGCCAGTACCCATAAAATATACCATTTTATAAATTTAAGAAGTATAACATATCTATACTGAATAAATAAAAAGAAATCTACAACCGCACCATATAGTCAGCTCTAAAACGTTAAATAAAAAGGGAAATTTTAAAAAATAACAAGATGGGCAAGACAGATTACCTTCAAGGAGCAACATAGTGACAGCTGATTTCACATCAGTAATCTGGAAGATACTACCATATCTTCAGTGTGTTGAGAAAAAAATACCTAGAATCCTATCCCAACTAAAATATATCTTAATTATAAGTGATATAAAAACATTCCCCACCCCACCAGACACCCCACCCGAAAAAGAAAACCTGAGTTTGCTCCTTGTGTTGACTTTATTGATGTGACTACTTGGTTCCACTAAAATCCCCAGTTACTTAGTCAAATGCAAATGCAAATCTTGATGTTGCTGTGAAGGTATTTTTATATATATAACCAAAACTCCTTATCATTAGACTTTAAATAAGGAAGATTATCCTAGATAATCTAGGTGGGTCTATCTGAATCAA